CCCAAGACACCCTACTGCTACAACAACACTTAGATTGGACAGTAACTTTACTACAGAACCTGGGATTCCTAATCAATTGGGAGAAGTCGGTACTAACCCCCTCCCAGTCCTTAGAATTCCTAGGGTTCGAAATAGGGGCGGTCTTAGGGACCCTAAGCCTGCCACCCACAAGGATGAAAATCATCAAGAAGGAGATCCGCAGAACATTGGCTTGACCAACACTTACGGTCAGGCAACTAGCCAGGATAATTGGACTCCTTTCCGCTTCCATACAAGCGATCTTCCCGGGGCCTTTACACTACAGGGCCCTACAGCGACTAAAAGCCGCACAACTGCGCTCAGGACACTCCTACTCAGACTCTGTGCCACTCGATCACACAGCCAAGGAGGAACTCAGGTGGTGGCTGCAGCACATGGAAGCATGGAACGGCAGAGCAATCTTCGGCAACAACCCAGATTGCGTAATAGAATCAGATGCCAGCACACGGGGCTGGGGAGCGCGCTGTGGACATACCTCCACGGGCGGAAAATGGTCCCAAGCAGAAAGGACACTACATATCAACTGCCTGGAATTAATGGCCGGTTCGTTCGCATTGAAGAGCCTCCTGGGTCCCACAACGCATTGCTCCATCGTCCTGAGAATGGACAACGTCTCAGCCGTCCAGTACATCAACCGCCTCGGCGGCACCAAGTCCAAAATTTTAGCAGACTTAGCCACAGAATTTTGGCAGTTTTGCTTATAACGCAGCATCACAGTACGAGCCGAATACATCCCGGGACTTTCGAACACCGTAGCAGATTGGAACTCCAGACATCTGCGGGATACCAGCGATTAGCGCCTGAACCGAGAGACGTTCCTACGATTGCACACTCTATGGGGTCCGATGTATATAGACCTGTTTGCGTCACGGTTGAATACACAACTCCCGGAATTCTTCAGCTGGAGACCGGACCCAGACGCGTTGGCTACGGACGCATTCCTACAACCATGGCCGAACAAACGATTATACGCATTCCCACCGTTCGCCCTACTGGCACGAACGCTAGTGCACCTCGACCGCACACGGACGTCCCTAGTCCTCATAGCTCCATTCTGGACTGCACAGCCTTGGTTCCCTTTACTCATGGGAATGTCCATAGATCTCCCCAGAATGCTGCCCGAGGACCCACATCTCCTCTCAGACCCAGATGGGAACCCACACCCTCTGATGGCGCAGGGACAACTCAGGTTGTTAGCGTGGCTCCTTTCCGGGGTCCCTGGGTCGTGCCAAACGTTCCGCAAACAACTCTCGAACTCCTGGCGGGAGCCTGGGCTCCGGGAACACGACGATCCTACTCTAAAGCTTGGAACATCTGGAGTGGTTGGTGCATGGAACAACACGTGGATCCCGTATGTGCCCCTGTAAACCACCTGTTGTGTTTCATTACACACCTATACGACCGAGGACTTGCATACCGGACCATCAATGTATACAGGTCAGCGATCTCGGCGGGACACAAGGGTATAGAAGGATTGCCAGCAGGCAAGCAATGTTGGTATGCAAGCTCTTACGCGGTATTCGATTGGCAAGACCACGCGACCCCGATATAGTACAGTATGGGACGTGAATGTGGTCTTAAATCTTTTGGAACTATGGCCACAGAACTCTGACCTCACATTGAAACAACTTTCAGCAAAACTGGCCATGCTCTTATGCCTAATATCCTGCAAAAGAGTCTCGGATGTCCGGGCATTGGACGTCGACGCACGCACGTTCACTCCAACGGGAGTAACTTTCAACATTTCCAGACGTACAAAATCAGCGACAACATCAGTGTCATATCCAGCATTCCCGCACAACAAAAACCTGTGCCCGGTTGCCTGCCTCAAGGAATACGAAACACGGACACAGGCATTTCGAAACTCTGGACAACATGAACTATTTCTGGCCGTCAAGTCACCACACCAGCCAGTATCTTCCATAACGATAGCCCGATGGGTGAAGTGGATAATGGCCTCTGCAAACATAGATACTTTGGTATATGGGGCACACTCCACTAGAGGAGCTATGGCATCTAAAGTATTCAACTTGGGATGCAGACTGGAAGATTTGTTACGGACGGCAGATTGGTCTCATGAATCCACCTTTAAGGAATATTATTTTCACCCTACAGACCACGTAGCATCAAGAGTCATTGCACAGCTTTGAACTAGCATAATATGAGCCTCCGTGTCCTTTAATAAAATTACCAGATTTTACTAATTACATGACGTAAAGTCATGATTTTATAAAGGACACGGAGGCGAATATTGGCCCACCCAGTAAGTATATCAGGCATATATCAGCGAAAGTAGAGTGACATGCCCACCCAATAAACAATAAAATAAGGGTCATTGTGGTGTCTTATTTCGTCTCGATTTAATTCGTTTTTCTTTAAGACAACTGTACTAGTGAGTCTGTAGTACATCAGGCATATGCTAAGATTCGTCACTAACGTTGTGGCAAACAGTTCCTCAGACCACATTTTACCATATTTTTCTCTATCCCATTACAGTTTAATTCGCAATACGCGACACCCTGGATGACCAGTTGTCACCGCAGTTTACGCAGACAAGTTATTACAAGTTCGGGATATGGGAAAGTTCGACATAACGGATGAAGTGTTCCAGTGTCTCCTCAAGTTATAATGATACAGCTTCGGCATGACCAAAGAAAGAGGAAGTGGAAAGGTCACATGAATAGTTATAGATAGAGGGACTGTTCCTATTGGTTAAGGGTATGATGTTGGGTTAACCCTTGGAGAACCTGTTAAAACTTTTTTTCTATGAATGTTATACCTTCTCTTTGCTGCTGAGGTATAATAAAGAAAGAGATAAGCATAATATTCGCCTCCGTGTCCTTTATAAAATCATGACTTTACGTCATGTAATTAGTAAAATCTGGTAATTGCCTGAGACTATCGATCTCGATAATCTCCGCCAAGGAAGCAAAGCTTCCCTGCAGAGACCGGCGCTGGGAGGGAGAAAAGTTAAGTGACACATTTTTTACTCCCTGAATATGGGGACCAGAGACCCAAACGACCAAGAGACACTATAGCATTAAGAATAAACATTTGTGTAACGCTACAGTGTACCTGTCATACTGCTAGGATTAGGGCAGATAGGATGAATTTTGACTTCTTGGTAAGTATAGAATCCTTTTTCTGGAAACATTTCAATCCCTATTCAGTCTTTCTTGATCTTCACACAAGTTTATCTCATACTGACAGGTTATTCACTACACGACAGATTTTGTCTGGATAACAAAATCCAGTGACAATTACTGAATTCTGATCACAAAGGTAATTCTTCTAATTACTATAGTCAAATATAGTCAGAGTTCGGTGGGCCTGAATGAATCCGCAGCAATCGCCCAGATGTATTCGGTGTTCAATTCCAAATCAGTGCTTTTACATCCGTAACCCTCTCTGAAATTTGGAATATTCACAAAACACAGGTGTTCATAAACTTCAGAATCTAATGCATCCATTTGGATACACAAATGACCAAAAGTGACTTGCTTTTTTGCAAGTGAATGATAATTTTAGGTGCAGCAGGTGGGGGCATATCTGCTAAATGTCTAAAATTATCGACTGGGCAGCCATTGCTGCCACTCCCAAAGTAGGGTGACCAGACCACATTAATTCTGTTCTAACTGCCATCAGACTGAAAGAATCCCTTTGAAGAAATGTCAGGGTGGAGGGCAGGCAAGGATCTGCATGAGCAGCAATTGCCCCTGGAACATTAGCATGCAGAGTTGAGGGCTGCAGTCGCACAGCACAATTCATTTTTTTATTAAAAGCAGCTGGAGATATTTTGAAATGTCTGGCAGCACAGTTCAGCAGGAATGAGGCCGCAGGCAGGACTGCAGGGATTTGAATAATGTTGGTCTGTGCTTGGGCTCATGGCATTCCCCACTCCAGGACTGGGATATTTCTATACCTCACAACAATTTAAACGCACAAAGGGGGTGTGTGAATGGGGGTGTTGCTGGGGATTGACTGTTCTGAGAAATTTCAGATGAGATAATTTATGTAACTAAATGTAATTTAGAAAAAGAACAGTTTATTTTATATACACAGACTGATTTCTAAATACATGTACAACAGTTTAAAGACACATTGCTGCCTATGTGGAAACTTGCTGCACATGCGCACATTTTTATAATGGTTTGACTTCTTACCTGGGATCTAGATCTGCTGGGTACCACTGTCTGCATCCACTACATCTAATTCAGATCCGGACACTCTCTGTCTAAGCTAAGCCTGGCGGTAGTGATTATGGCATTCTGTAGTGATTATGGTACTTGGACGGTTTCTTTAAACGTATGAGATAAATTCTGGGGTTTGGAAGATGAAAAATGGTGGAAAAGAGGAGGATATGTATGAAAAAAGGGAAAAAAGTAAGGAGGGAGAGTTGGTGTTAGCAAAAGATGGTAAACAGAAAGAAATAGTTTAGTAAACAGATACATTTTAAGTTGGAGCATTATAAGGAAGGTGATGAAGTGAATCACTATGTGAGAGAGAAGATGGTAGTGAGTTAAGGTAGCAAGTAAGTCCTTGTAAGTTTTATCCTGCAATCCATGAACCAGTTTAATAGCCCTTCTCTGAACCCTCTCTAAGGTATCAATATCCTTCTGAAGATACGATCTCCAGTACTGTGTACAATACTCCAAGTGAGATCTCAATAGTGTTCTGTACAATGGCATGAGCACTTCCCTCTTTCTACTGCTAATACCTCTCCCTATACAACCAAGCATTCTGCTAGCATTTCCTGCTGCTCTATTACATTGTCTGCCTACCTTTAAGTCATCAGAAATAATGACCCCTAAATCCCTTTCCTCAGATGTTGAGGTTAGGACATTCTCAAATATTCTGTACTCTGCCCTTGGGTTTTTACGTCCAAGATGCATTATCTTGCACTTATCCACATTAAATGTGAGTTGCCAAAACTCTGACCATTTTTATAGTTTACCTAAAACATTTGCCATTTGGCTTATCCCTACTGGAACATCAACCCTGTTACATATCTTAGTATCATCAGCAAAAAGACACACCTTACCATCAAGACTTTCTGCAATATCACTAATAAAAATATTAAAGAGAATGGGTCCAAGTACAGATCCCTGAGGCAGGGCTGGTGCAAGGATTTTTGCCGCCCTAGGCAAAAGTAAAGTTTGCCGCCCCCCCATGTGACATCACAATGCCCCACCCATATGATCTGCCATGTTAACTAACGCCAGTGCTGCAGTGCTGCCGTGTTTACATTAAAAGGCCTGCAGGGACAGGCTATAGACACCAGAACCACTACATTAAGCTGCAGTGGTTCTGGGGACTATAATGTTTCTTTAATGTGAGGTAAATTAGAGATTAGTGCCACGAATAATATACTAGATTGCCTACTTACAACCAGATGAGGATGGTGATGGGCTCTAGCTGCAGTCTGGCTCCACTGGTCTGGTGTAGAACAGGATCTCTGGAGGCTGTTTGTAACTGTGGTCACAAAATCAATGTTCTGGGAGAATGGGAAGCAGCTCCATTTTTTGGGGGGCCCTTTACACAGCTCAAGGTCTGGGTGCCAGGGTCCACCTTCATGTTCCACCAGTTTGTTCACAGGGGGTGGAGTGTGTAGGGGATGTCCTGATATGTGTGTAAGGAATGCATTGTGTGAATCTGTGTTTGTATGTGTAAGGGCTGCAAGGTGTGTTTCTGTGTATGTACGGGATGCAGTGTGTGTGTCTGTAAGGGATGCATTGAGTGTGTGTAATGAATGCATTGTGTGTTTCTGTGTGTGTAAGGGATCCATTATGTGTAAGGGTTGCATTGCTTGTGTATGTGTTTCTGTGTGTGTAATGCATTGTGTGTTTTTCTGTGTGTAAGGGTTGCATTGTGTGTGATTATGTTTGTGTGATGGATGTCAATCTCTCTCCCCCCTCCTTGTCACACTCTCTTTCTCCCCCCCTCCTTGTCACACTCTCTTTCTCCCCCCCT